ACTCTCTTTCTCTCGGCCACCACAGCGCCGTTCTATTGTGATCAGTAAAAGTGGGATCTTCGCGGGCTGGCTGTTTACAGTACAGGAGTTTTACACTACAAAAATAGTTTGTCCCGGTGCCCAGGGCAGTGTAATTGTAGAATTTCGCCAATCATGATGGTTTCAGAAATGTCGTACAGTAGGAATTAGGACAATCCCTAAATTGTTCACGCTCACATCATACCCATATGGCAAATCTGTAAAAGACTAGCTCTCCGAAAGCAGAAGTACTTCATTTAACGTTTGGAAACGATTACGAGCACTGCAACCGTGGAATACGTGCAAACAACAAAGCCGATACACTGCCGGGTATTTTAAAACACCCCTTTTTGGGAGATATTGCATAGTGTAGGAAGTAATCAGCCATTAATACGAAACGGCTGCATGGTGAAATATGTCACATTCGAGTGTATCAGTTACCTGAATCGAACTCAACGACTGATCTCAGAATGTGCTGGAAATGAAAATCTGACTAAATGGTGCCTACTGTGATTAACATTGAGGCATATTTATCTAACTAGGAACTAGGCAGATTGTCCTCGGAATTCCAGCCAAGCGATGATGGCCGTAATCCCATCATTTCATGGATCAGAGGAGGAGCACCAAATGTGGATCAAAATCTAGGGACCGTTAATGAATTGACCATCAAACATGTGATAAAATTCTGCATATCATCGACTGGCATAATAAGGTCTATCAGATGAATCTATCCTGCTACGGAATTTCCGAAGGACTGTGTTCTAGAAATGGCAAATGTTCCGATATTACTGAGCTAACCTGACAATATTGACAGATAGTTTTCCTAAAGATTAGGTGTCCTCCACTCGTGTCGATTTTAACTAGAAGAAAATGAGACTGTCGACTGAGCTGCTTTGCATTAACCGGGACACATCTCAGCTCCTTGGAAAGAGGTGTGTGTGTGAATAAATTGACCATTCCGACGTGGATTTTTGAACGCCAATAAAAATTCAAGCAATCAGTCGCCCCCTATTTACGGGCTGCAGAAAGTCCTGTTGACAAGATTTTGCTCTGGGAAGTGTTCGAAATAGCCTAAGTCACCCAGTGGCTAGATGGAACTATTAGAAAAGATTCAGTTGAACGTGACTTGTTGCTTCCAAATTCAAAGGAGCTGTACACATTACATGTTGACTGATTGATTCATCCGGTCTCACAATCCCCGAATCCACATATTAAAATCCATAGAAAGAATTCCCGGATGGTTGGAAAAACTCAACCTACAAATCCTCATACTGAACACGAAGATCCCGGAAACTATGACGATCGGTTTACTGAACACTGTCAGAGTTTTCGGGGAAGCGCAAGCGAAGTTTTAAATGTTGAACTGATTTCGTCTTTGTGGTTAATGCAAATGCTCCTTCTCTGATCTGATGGCTAGGATTTACTGTACCGCTGCAATGCCGGAGTAATGAGAACGTTCGACCTTGCTTCAAACGAGTCTTGATTTAACTCAGGATTTCACTATGGAATAGCAGCAGCATTGGAAGGAACTAGACCTTGCGGTCAATAGCTGTTGGTAACATCAACACACTTGAACGAATAATAGAGCTGATTGGAGTGCGGAACAGCGGTTTGCTGAAAATTCTAGAAGACTGGTAACCATTGTGTACTGCGAAACGGTACGTACGCATGAACCAGAATGAGTACGATAATAATCTCAGGTAGGATTTCGTTGCAGTCCGACCGATACGTGAAATTCCAGTAGTCACAGGACCGACCGCCGTTTGTGTTGCATATCAGTCATGAATTTGCAACCACGGACGACAAATTAATCTTGTTTGTTCTGATACTAGGTCAAATTCGCTGTGGAATTTGGCGCATGACTGTTACAACTGTTATCCTCGCAGACAGGTTACTTGATTGTGCTTTGCTAAAATCAAAGGTTATGCGGGAGATTGAGGAACCGCACTCAGAGGTCGATAGAATGGGACCATTTCACAATGAATGCATGGTACGCCAAAAAACCGAAGAGCTTTTAAAAATTCTCTGGATGTGCACGCAAAACATCGAGTTCAGTAACTCAGTGGTCGGACAAGAGATTCACTGGAGACCCAACGAAAAACTGCACATGAAACAAACTGGAATATTGCGCAAGGTGAATAGGTTCTTAAATGATTAACTGACCAGAAATATGCCGAATTTGAGCACTGGAAAAAATGACAAATATATCAAAGGAAGATGCATGTAGTGGGCTGAATTTAGGGATTCCAGCAACGAAGCTGGTCTATGACCGAAATTCCCAGTTGATTAAGCGTGGTTTGTTCGCAACCTCTCCTGTATAATTCACTGAACATCTCTCGCTTGTCCAATAGTATCAAAGAATTAAGGATAGATGTGATGTTATAAAATCTATACTCTATACTGAAAGCAAAGACACAAAAGGTGCTAGAATATTTTAAAGGTAGATCCATTGGGTTTACTCATTAGTATAGTAGGTCTGGAAGGCTTAATAGAGTTTACTAAACGAGAAACCCAAGGAAGAGCTGAAAAGAATTGGAGAGCAGGAGAAAAAAATATATTCATTTTTAGGTCAAACAAAGGATAAGGGTCTTGATAACAAATAAACCCGACTACGCCAAGGAGATGAACAGGACTTTGGGCGAATGCTCAAAATTTGGGGGGAAAAGAGTTCAAAGAAGGCAGCGAAAGAGCAACACACTGTACCACGGATCCAAATTACCTGTCTCCAAGAATCATTTGATTAACAGGTATATCTAGCCCGCCAACCTATAATGTACCAAAAGTGCTCATTGTCTCATCGAGGTCTTTTGAAACGCCAGTGCATTTTTGATTATCAGGTTGTCTCTGTTTGCCTTGTTTATGTTAGATTTGGTTCGAATAAGTCATGCTGATTACAGGTACGGATTTGCATTAAATTTCACAGGCTAAGGAGAACGTTGAAGAAGTATAGATTGTCATTTTGGATGTAACGTCATTGTTAAAAACATCGCTTTTGAAAACAACTACATACTTGTGACTGTTCAAAGGAAATGGGATAAATCCTAGTATTTCAAAGGATAAGCTGCATGAGCTATTATTACGGATAAAAAGAAGAATTTAATGTCAAACTGATAAAGTTGCTTTGGGATTCTCCCTTGTATTGGTTGCCAAATTTAAAAATGAGAATATGCACGGGACAATAGAAAATCCACTATACTACTGGCGGTATGTGGATGATATCGATATCTTGATCAACAGTAAAGACCATAGGCACGCTAGTGAATGCCATCAAATGTCCTAATTCATTAGATTTGTCCAACTTGTTATTGGGAAATGTGAGCACACAAGATATTTGAGGCGTGTGATAGCCCGTTCAATTTATCTTCAACCAAGACGGATCGGGAAATGTTCTTAGCTAGCCAGTCCTCTCCGTTTCCGAAGCCCAAGAGGAATTTGGCGCAGATCCTGATTTAAGAACCTAAAAATATAAAGCAAATAGTTTCTAGCAGTGGACGTCCGAAGTGATTCATTCTGGAACACCTAAAAGAACAGCTTTTGCGACCACCGCTTACCACATTTTCAGAGAGGAATGAACAATTCTTCCTGTTGAAGGAGATCATAAATGCGAACAATTTAATTAACACTTTGAAACGACCATCCGTCATACGTGTTTTGCTGTAACACTGCACGGAAAGTTTACATCCGCCCGAATATTAAAGATAAATCGCCTATTCTGTCCTCATCTGTGATAACTTACAATTTTCTTCGATCAGTTTTGTCACGTTCTGTGGGGAGAAGGACGCAGAAATTATAGGAAAGAAGCAAGGAGCAAAAGCCAGTCTGAATGAGCTGGTTGCACATCTTCCTGGTACCGGTCATCAGGCTAAGTTGTGCGGTTTTTTAAGTGATCTGCAAAGCGTCGAGAAAACCGTCGAAGCTTTTTCTTAGCTTCACGTTGTAACGGCAGAGGCGATGACCATTATCTCAGTCAGCTCACCCGTTGGTTCTTAAAGTCGATTTATCCAGATACTTCACTTAACCTGGTCTCAACCGGACGTGGCCGAACCTAACAGCAATGACCTTTGGTAAGACCCAGTGGCGCCGATCGAACATGGAGCGCACCATCCGGGTCATCGACTTAAAGCACTCACTAAAGAACACAACAAAAAATATCACCCGTTATTCTCCCAACCAATTGATATCGAGTTGGATTGAGCGGACGAACTAGGGATTGCGCGCGAAGAAAATTCCACAGGGTGCTCACTACCATTTCATAACCATTATACTAACTTGGCATATATATGGATAAAGCTCGGATATGCGGTTATCGAAAACAAGTTTGGTTCCCTATCGTGTTTTCTTTAATTTACCTCGAGTCTTGTGGAAAGTAATCGTGAAGATGGTGGTGATGGCCTCGTTGGTCGTTTGTCCAAAAATCACCACCACTGTTGGTGAGTTCTACGAGCTGGAAGTGTAGTTCGCAGACGTTTCGTAGCCAAGCTAGACAATATCCTCAGTTCGACTTCAGGGAACACCACCACTCCCTAACTTTCCCCATTAATAGGTCGCTTTTTTCCTACTGAGATTAAGTTGTACTGCGAAGTTTTTAACAGAAGGAATAAAATTAGTGGCTCATGTGGGCTTCAGCTCATAGTTAACCGCGAAACGCGTTAAATTTTTTTTTCACTTTTGGTCTTTGTTCTTTTCTTCAACTGCGTCGCTCAAACTAGTCCACGGTACTTTTTGTGAGTTCATCTTCAAACGGGCGATAGGTATTGCCTATCCCCGCCAAATGACTTTGTTTATTTATCTGTCAGTGTATTCTGTGAATACTTGTAAAAAAGTATCCAATAAGTCATTCAAAACATTGCAAAATACATAAAAAATGGTTGTGAACATACGAAGCACGCTCCAGCACGGAACATGAATATGAGCTAATACGGGAAATCAGGTGTACATATAAGGCACATGATTAGTATCACTTTACGTCGTGGACAAGGGCATTATATGTCCACCGATTGGCCAAACACACGAAGTGATTCTAGACTGTAATGTTCTGGATCGATCGTACTGCGCGACCCTCGTCTTTGGTTGATTCGTCCGCTGTATGATCCCGTTAAAGTTGGGGGTGGTGGTGGGGGCGGATGAACGCGTCGCGTGGACTTGACACCGGTTACACCCGGCAGGGGAACACCAACAACATCACAACTTTCACTTTCGTACGTCTGTTGATTGATCAAAAAATCTCCACGTTCCATTGGACGAGGATGCGAACCGGATCTAGCTACTGATGGGCATAAGGGCGAGGCTGCGCTGTGTGTGGTAAATGCATCGGCGAAGGCAGTCTGAAATGCGGAGCCCGGTGCAGCACCCGGTGGGGCGAGACGAACACTGTGCCGGAACTGATCCGGACGTGGACGTCGGCAAAGCAACACAAGCATGACGACCAGTAGGGCGAGGATTAGAAACAGTAACAGACCGAGAACAAGTGTCGCCAGTTGGGCGTCAAATAACGGAAAGTAGTAGATCGGAGGAAAAGCTAAAAAGCGGAACAAATTGAAATAGGGTGTGGCCAGAGTCGTCAACCCAAACCAGTTATGTACTAGTTGCAAACCAATGTGCGACGAAATACACTTAAGAAAAAAATAAAAAATCATCGTCAAGATCGCAATAAACATAACTGAGATAGACGACACAATTTAATTTTTATAAAAATACCAAAGCCTCAAGCAAACGGGACTCAAGACAAATGACCCCACGAAATTGTTCATTCGTTGTACCCATCAGCATTTTCAAACAAAATTATCGCAGACCATTTCAAATTAGATTTGAAAGACACTGGACCCAACTGTAGTCTATCTTCCGGTAGTTGTTCACTCTGTGAACTCGGCGCTTCACTGAAGACGACAAGTCTTAGGTGACCGATTCAATCAACTCCCAACGATGACACCTTGTGGCATAGTTTATCTTACAATCAGGAAAGTGACTAGTCTACTTGAGCACCAGTGAGTCACATACAGCACTGGTCAGAGTTGAATTTATCAGCTAGGACAGAAGGTCATACAAATAGCAATCTGGAAGAATAATATAAGATGTACGTGGAAATTGCTAACAAAGTAACTCGGAGTTCCTTATCAGGATTTAGACCTCAAGTTTGATTTGAAAAATTCACATTTGTCTGTATTAAACGCGCGCGCAAAACCTGTGTCAGGTTGCTTGCGTTGTGAGAATCTCTAATTCAACATTTTATTCCTCTTATGAAAATAAACCAAATTGTTGATTCGGGATAGTATTATGAATTGCATCACGGTGAGAACTGGCATGTATTCGACCACTGAATTCAAACCTTCCCTTCTCTAATAAACCCCGTTTTGTGAAACACCGTATGAAAAATACTGTGTGCTGGAACGTTTCGTATAGTAAAGGGATCAAGGAACTGAAAAGCTGGAACGCACTGGATAACTACGTCGACCTGGTTGAGGTGTATTAATCGTGCGTAGTTATCAATTCAAACGACGATTGACCTCGAGGCCTTACATTGGTAGTCAGTAGGCGTTCAGTTTGTTTAAGTTTGTACAACCATTAACCATGCACAATCGTGCGCCGGTTTTGGTTGCTGTCTTTTGGCTGCTCATTTGGATGAAGAATAGGAGAAGAAGAGGAAAGTTGAAAGTGGAGTCGAAAGGAAAATGGAGAAGTTCCGTGGACTAAGGTTGGGAAGAAATTGAGGAGATGCACTGTTGAAAGTAGAGTCAAACAGAAAATGGAGAAGTTCAGTGGTCTAAGGTTGCAATGAAATTGGGAAGATGCACGAACGCCACTATTTATGACTCCCAGCCAAATCACTCAGTGTCTGTAGCCATTGATTACAGTAGTCCCGGGGTCTCCAGCCAGCGAGCCTAACAGAACCTATGTGACCCAGTCCCCTGGTCAGGGTTTTCATACCCTCGTGCCAGGTCTTAGCTTGGCCACTACCTATCAGATGGGTGACTAAACTTTTTCACTTTGTCTGTGCACGATATAACACAAATTTGCTGGCTTGTTGAGATCATATCTGATAAAAGCATCATACTGCTAACAGGGTATTGGATTTCGAATAGCAAACCTCGGCTCCAACGCTCGATTCTTCATCCACGTATATGGAACAAGCTGTACCCTTATCAAAAGTGAAAGATTGGGGTGAAAGACCGGTTTCAACAAGGCCAAGAAGCGGTAATCCACTTTTGTTTCCGCTGGCAAGTGCTACCTTGCCTCACTCCCACACAATTACACACAGGATCGTGTGTGGTCCTGTGAACTATTTCTCTCAGAACGGTACGAGGGGTAGAGAACATGTTCTACTTGAAACACGGTTTCACCAGGAATAAACTCTGTGAACAGGGACGAACTTCGATGGGAATGTTTCAAAATAGGAAGTGCAACTAAACCTGAAAACCCGGATGGGTTAATGGTGAGTGCAGAAACGGATGGTGCAGATGTGAGTCCAAAAAGAACAATGTTCTTTTCGTTCGACAGACCTTACTAAAGAACAGAGATGTACAAATGTATGGGTTCACTTACGCGAAAGCGGTTCGGCCAATTTTAGGAAACGTTCACGCCAGAATGCCATCCTTTCGGATCGAAAATGAAACTTTGGCGTACTGTTTAACGATATGAACAAATACGCTTCCCATGGATGCTTGAAAGATGGCCATGTGACATTTTTGATCGGAGTTGGAGTAGGGTTACTTTGTGGAATAGGAAAAGAGAACAAGCGTATACGAGTCCTGGTTTTATGGTTTTCAAGCAGAGATGGGCTTGCAAAAATTACACGGAATTATTTATAATTTCATCGAAAAGTTTTTCTTACATTTTACCACACTAATTTTACGCACAAGCCGTCGGTTTTCATGTCTTTTTGTGTGATGTACAAGGAACATACTTGACAGCTTTATCTAATCACAATTGATTGGGGCTCATCATCATTGAGTATTAGTTTTTTGTTCCCGTCTGAACTGTGATCCTTCGCATTGCAGTTCAAAACTCTTACTCCTAAATTAGATGACACACGGTTGAAACATTGAGTGTGTAGTGGCTTGAGACCGACAGTGTAACATGCTTGTCACCACCTTTGTCAGCCTGTTCCGCATGTATGCTTTCGCAAGGTTGCAGGCATTGACGGCTTGGAGAATTCGCTCGTGCATTCTTCTCCTTTGTAGCATAGATTCAGCCAGGATATCCTGAGACTGCTTCTTCTTTAGCTAGGTCTTTCATCTTTGTTTAAGTCACTGCCACCTCCGGTGAAGTAACTTTCACTTTTGACGGTGCGTGAGTTCAGTGCCACACCTCTCGCTAAGCACTTTTCGCTTTCAGACACTCTCAAGCATAATCAGGCTAAAACTCCGGTGCTTTCAGGGAACAATATACTTTCCCTCGACTAACCGGTTGTTCTTACTGATCCATATAGGGTGAGCGAGAAACACGGGAGAATTAGAGATCGGATCGTTGTCGCAGGTCGCGTAATTGCATCCGCCTATCTCTAAAAGTGCATGGCTACACTGAGTAGATGGTCAGTTTGACCGTAGATGCAAGTTCTGATACAACGAGCTGTGTATTGTGCTGTCCTGTCCAAACTGAGTCACATAAAAAACACAAGGTAGTTTTATGAGTCCCAGTAAAGACGAAACAGGTTTTCAGTGTGTACTTCATTGGCCGTCAGAAACACATTCGAAATCTCATTGCATTTGAAATGCATCATTAGGTGAGTTATCAACGATTCCTCCACATATGATTAGACCTGCAAGTCATCCTGGAGTTTTCCTACCAAGCCAAAGGAAACGACACTGCCCTGCATGAAAACGCCTTACGCATCCTCAGAGATGGATTAAAATCAATTAAATTGAAATCAGATACCACTGGTGAGGATTCATTCAAGACTGCCGTTTTCAGTAGTCAACATCCGTAGATCCAGACTCGATTTTGTTTACTCCTGTAAAACACTCACTGGAAACAGGTTCTCACAATACAGTGCAAGCGGCAGCTGCAAACAGGCTTTTAATACGGAGCTTTTACATCATTTCTCAATTCAGCCACCTGCTGAACGACTCAATGGACACTGGAAGCTAAACAAGGAGGCTATTAAACTATCGAGTTAAACAATGATGAATTAGTGTGCACGATCTGAGCACAAAGGGTGGAGTTCCTCGGCCTCTGCTATTTTGCCGGACGTTTGCACAAGTTATTCTTTCGGACACCAAATTCGACATCACACAAATTCCTTAGATGTTGACTTCTCAAAGGCAGGAGAAATAACAACTAGAAGTGGTGGGTAGCTGAACGCAGCGAGATGGCGAAAAGCGTGAATATGGGTAGCATTCAAAATCTTTCCCGCAAAATCAGGAGTGGAAGCCCAAGGAAATTAGAGGTGTGGTAATTCGAGAGACTGACGACACACTGATTCACATTGAGCAAAGCCGTCTGAAACGATGGGTAGAACATTTTGAGGCTCAGTTCAACTGGTGCCCATCACAATTAGAACTCTTAACTTTGCTTCAACCAGGCAGTTAACGCGGGTTGCTATCAGTCCTGTAAATGAAATAGAGGTCTCGCTGCAATAAGTTACCTACGAAGGTACAAGGCCTTTGCTCTCGATCGATTGTCTCATCGGTATTTAAGGATGGAGGTTCAGTCTTAGTCTCGGAGTTGAAGAAACTCCCGTTTTTTCAAACGAGGAAGTGAACAAACAGGAGTAGTGTGAATCGGTTACCTTGTCGACTAACTAGAAAGGCAACCGGTCCTCTTGTAAATACTGTAGATGAACTTTTCGGCTAACATTGTTCCTAAGGTTCTTGTTGACATTATAATCCATCAGTTGTCCACCACAGATGTACATGTGTACGCGTTAGAACCGGGCTCTATTATAGACCCGATCAAAGATGAATTGACCATATTTTCACTCTTTGCTGAATTATGAAACAGATATTCCTCTCGAAGACCCAGTATTTCTGCTTTCCGTGATCGACAATCGGGCCCCCAAATTAGTTGAACTCTCTGAACTCTGGCGCTTCTCTGTGAACGATAAAGCAGAAACGTTTATTTTAACAATATGCTTTCCTTATGCCAATAACCAGAGCCGGGATCGAGCTTACGGTTCTTTTTCACCTGAGTACATCACAGGAAGCGGTGTCCCTCAAGTTAAACCTCTCTCTTTATTTTCTAATAAACTATTGCATGTACATTATTCTGAAAACAGCCTTTCCCTAATCCAAGGATAGTGATATCGATACGCATCTAAGTGGCAAGTTATTTGTTCGGGAGTATGCAGATGACATCGCACTGCTGAGCTGAGACTGGGGTAAGTAAAAAACTTTTCTGAATGGTTTGGATGTTGGTCTGGCTATGTTCGACATACGGTTTGCACCTCAAAAGCGAAAAACATTCTCACATGACAGGATTGGTCCGTCACTCAGCCTCCTTCTAACTGGGAAAGCAACAGGGCAAGTAGATGAATTTTATTACCTAGGTGCAGTTAGCGTTTGCCAAAATGAGACAGTTCTGGAACCCCTACGATATTCGATAGTCCGTGAATATTCGAGTGTATGTGAAAGCATCTCTATCAGTGTTGCTATACGATACAGATACTTGATCGTTACGGAAACAGGATAAAGATAGATTGGCGCCGTTTACGTCGCGTCGCAAGACTTCTTTTGGGGGAAACCGAACAATCAATGCTGAGGTTCAGCGCAGAGTCTATGGATATCGTTCACAGGAGCAGGTGTTCAACCTACATGAATAACGGTGACTGTAGCATGTGTTACACATATTAACGAATGGATTACCTTGATCTGGGATGTTTTTCAAGGTAGAAAGTGATCGGAAGAAAGTTAAAGGTGATCAAACTAAGACCAGGAATGGCGTATAAAAACTCTCATCAAAGGACTTAATCAGTTGGACCACGTTAGGCGGCCCAGATGGGAACCTCGAGATGAGTGCAATCAATGGTTATAGAGACACTGAGTAGTATGATTTAGTGTCACCAACAGCGAAACCGGTGTATTAACTCAATTTCTTCGCTATCAAAGCCAACTGGAATTATATAACTCCACTTCGAAGTTGTTCCCAGCTTTCTACTCCTTCCTTCAACTCGTTCATCTAAACGGGCAATTAAAAGGCAGCAACCAAAACCACTGAAACTTAAACTCCAAGGTTATTGGTTGTATAAACTGACATTGAAAAACGTCTCTAATCTTACGACAGAGCCGTTTATTTCACTAACACCGAGCTCGATCTAAATCTTTTGCATCAGGTATGTACGAGTAATTCACGCCCACCAGTAAAGGTAAATGACATTCATCGAACCACGATCGTTTTATTTTCTCTCTCTATCTCACTGACTTTATTGAGCAAAAAAATTAGATAACACTCAATAAATTTATTTGTATGAATTGGATCGTTGGCTATGTCGTATTGGCCTTAGATCCGAGCCTGCCAACTACGAACTTGGCTTGAGGAATGAGTAAGTGGGTTTTGTGATCATATATCATATTATATATATAAATTTTGTTATATATCATTCTCAACGGGGGTTGCGTTTTTGCTCAGTGCTCAAAGTTGAACGGGTAAAGCGAACTACTAATTGCACAACACAATCGAGAGGAAACATGTATCGTCCCAATTAACTGCTGACTGTTTCAATGCTAATTTTCGTATTAACGCACCCATATTTTGCGAAATTCGTCCAGGCTTCCATCATAAATTCGCTCACATTTGTGTCGTGCGGATAGGCATAGGTTCGTTTTGCGTACCCGGAAAAATTCGAACCCGTGTAGTAACGCTTCCAAAATTCACTGTCCAGAAATGGTAAGCCCAACAAGAATGGCTGTTCGGCTCCGTGATAGACGCCTGAAAAAATTGCATAATTCGCTCAATCCGTGTTGTAGTGAGACAGTGGTAAAGTGATCACAAAATGATAACAGTAGAGGAATTCGATCATCAATGAGAGATACATTTTTTTACCTAGAGCAACTTTACAAAAGGTTCCCCGCTGTTTGTTCAGGCCTCTGATAAATATGGACCGGAGTATATTGGAAATGTTACTTCTTAGGGTCCGGGTGGTGACTAAACTTTTCTTTATGTGTTTTGAGGCAAAGAAAAGTTTCATATTGAATGGAAGGATCAAATTTTGAAGCAACACAGTTTACAGCTTTTGCTACACCGGTAGCTCGTTCAGACTAATCATAGTTGACTATTTTAGAAAACACAATTAGGAAAACTCTGTCACATGATTTACTCAGCTTGCCAGGGTTAGTAGATCGATGGGGCGATTCCATATCCGTAATTATCAATATCCT